AGGGTGACTGACTACATTTCTACAGTACTAGAGCGGAAACTATATGCAACCGGAGTATTTCTGGATGTCGCCCAAGCGTTCGACAAAGTATGGCATCAGGGGCTTCTCTTCAAGCTTAAGACCATACTTCCACATACTTACTACTTAATTCTCCATTCCTTTCTCTCAGATAGATTTTTCTCCGTTCGACATGGCCAAGGTCTATCCACAATTCGATCAGTTTTAGCTGGTGTACCTCAGGGATCAATCCTAGCCCCACTACTGTACATCACATACACACACGACATTCCTCAAAGTATCCACACTCTTACAGCAACCTACGCAGACGACACTGCTATCATTACCAGGCACGACAATCCTACAGAGGCATCACTTAACTTACAACATCACTTACAAATTATACTCGATTGGTGTAAACTTTGGAAAACTAAAATGAATTATCAAAAGTCACAGCACATCACATTTACTCTAAGACCAGAAACATGCCCTCCTGTATACTTAGACAACATACCGATTCCACAAACAGACAGAGTACAATACCTAGCCCTTACGTTCGATAGGAGAATGACATGGGGTCCACATGTGAAGAAAAAACGAATCACATTAAATCTAAGACTAAAATTGTTACATACACTGTTAAGAAGACCTTCCAAATTAAAAGCAAGACAGAAACTAAGTATTTACACGTATCTTTTAAAACCTCTTTGGACTTACGGACTACAAATATACGGAATTGCAAAACCAACTCACATAAATAAACTTCAAACTTTTCAGTCTAAGATACTACGACTAATCACTCAAGCACCATGGTACGTAAACAATCACACTTTACACACCGACCTACACGTTCCGACAGTCAATGAACACATACGAACGTACTACAAACGATTTCATAACATGTTAAACGGGCACTCCAACCAGCTGGTAAAAGAAATGGCCACAACAGGTATGCCCGAGAACTCCAGAAGACGACTGAAAAGGGTCTGGATGAGGGATCTGCTTAAATAATGTTAGAAAATAAAAGCCATGGAAGGGATACCGCTGGGTATTGCTATTCCTCATGCCTATCAAGCCTTTTTTATTTATTTATTTTTTATTTTATTTTATATTTCTCATTACTAAACCAGCACATCTGCTGATTGTCAATAATAATAGACAGGTGCGGATAAATAAATGTTAGTGCAAAAAAAAAAAAAACCTTGACTGACAGCTGCATTTTGAACCAAGTTGTCAACTCGGTCCAGTCGAATGTTAGTAACTTCTTCAATCCCTATTAATGTTTTTAAATTATTACTTTAAATTTTTTACTGATTCTATATTATAACTTATTTATAGGCAATTTATTAGATAGATTTGTACTTTTTAACCTTTTATTGATTTTTATATTCTAATTAAATTTATTTAACAATTGATTTTACAGTTTTTAAATTTGTATTTATTTATTTAGTTTTACATTTCACACTCCTTAAACAGATTGTTTCAATCATACGCGTGGTGGGCATAGTCTCGAACAAAAAAATAACATTGCAATGAACAAAATATTCATAAAAAAGATCGAAGTTGGACAAAAGGTATGGGTTCTGAGAACTGGACGTTCAAGAGGCGGTTGTTGCCTCTGTGATGTCTGTGGCTACTGCAGGAGGCAGAGAAAATACATTTGTTAAAGTGGAATGGCCCGACACAGAAGGTGTGGTATTGGGAAAGACGGTGTAGATAGATGATGTCTTTCCCAGATTGCCAAATGGACAGCTGAATGTCGCAGAGGTACATAGTGAGCGACAAGATGAAGCTCTACGCCCTGGTAATAAAGTTTGTCCGATATGCGGGCTTTTTTTTAAGGGCGAACGAGGTCTCGGAACCCATATTGCAAAAAAAACATCCCAGGGAGGCGAATAACAATAAATTGAGGGGCATAGTGAAGAACGTGATAGGTCCTAGAAATGGAGAGGGTGAGAAATCAAAAATAAAAGAGGACATTGTTGGATGGTCTACTACGTTCAAGAACCTATCAAAGTAAAATATGGTAAATACTGCGGATTTTGATGGGGCCGTAGGCAAGTTTCTAAAATTCCTCAAAGATATCAATGCGGAAATGCCAGGTCCCCAGCACCCAGCCGTCAAATTTTATAGGATGAGGAAAAAAAAAAATGAAAATGGTTGGCAAGGATGCTGGATAAGTTTCAAATCCGCAGAGAACAAACAAAGTAGACAGGGGTCGTCGGCAGGAGCAGTATCAGTATGAGTTTACTCAATATAATTACTACAAAAAAAGAAAAAGGTTGTGCAAACTGTAATGAATGCCGACGCTCCTAAACGGTGTCCTCTAAATATGGCCGAAATCGAGGGGCATTATAAAGACCTCTTTGAAAGCGAAAATCTCTCCGGGAGTGCGGATTACGAACAGTATGCCAAATTTGCTGTCCATTGAGCTAGAAGCTGGAAGTGCTGCGCTGTGTACCCCAAGGCGGCCCCTGTCGTCTTCACTCTTCAACCTGGCCATCGACCATCTCTACCGCGAATTGTGCGATTTTTCCAAGAAATTCGGGTACAAATTAAGGAATGACCAAGATTGTGTGGTCCTCACATGTTTCGCGGATGACTAGGCTGTGTCGGCGCGAGACAAGGGGGCTGCAGAAAGAGTGATTGACAGCATACAGAGGACATTTCAAGAAATTGGTCTGGCTATAAATCCTCAAAAAAGCATGGGCACCGTTCTAAATAAAGGAGAGCTGGAAACTAAGGCGCTCTCCCTTGAGAATGGAGAGTACATCCAAATACTGAAGAATGGAGATACGATTAAGTACTTAGGATGCACATTCTCGGGGGAGCTACAATTCAACGAAGATTCGGTGACTAAATTGAATGACAATCTAAACAAGCTGGTAATCTCTTGCTTACTTAAACATAAGCAGAAACTCAACATTGTCAATCAATATCTGTTCTCGGGTCTTACCCTCTCCAAACTGCGCTCCTAACAAAGCTGCGTCCTGCCATACTTGAGGGCATCGACACTATGATTCGCAGGAGCGTAAAGGCCATTATTGGACTCCCTGTCAATACTTCCACAGCGATGTTGTATGCCTCCAGTAGATACCGAGGATTGGGATTAATCCGCTACCAATGGGAAGCTCCTCTTCAACATTGGTCCATTACTCAGTGACTGTCCAATGTGGCAGATGCCCTTTTTCAATCTACCTTCGATTATTCGGCTGAAGTTGCTGAATGTGCCGGAAGATTGGAGGTTGATGAGGGTCATCGAAATGTGAAAGTTCTACGGCAGTCGATACAAGAAAATGCATTTGAGGAATTGGCCAACTGCAGGTGGCAGGGTATTGGTGTTCGCCATTTTAAAGAGACCCCGAAAGCGAACATCTACGAAAAGCAAGTACTTTCTGGCTCTCAATGGTCGAATGCCCTAAAACTAAACATTAATTATGCACCCCTGCGTGGATTCCCAGGTGCCAGCGGACAGGTTAGAGAAGTTGGGTCCCTCTGCCGTAAATGCGGCAGAGAGTCTGAAACACCAGCCCTTGTGCTGGGAAAATGCCCCAACAACTCCCTCCTCATAACACTTCGTCACCACCGGGTCAAGTTCGAGTTGATTAGGCTCCTTAGAGAAAGGAAATTCACCTGCTTTGACGAGGTATATTGCATCGATAGTGAAGGCTCTATAAGATACGCGGATTTTCCAAGACAGGAAGGACAGCGCTGATCTTGGATCCAACTGTCCGCTTTGAGAGCAATGACCTCGATCAGGCGGGTGAAGTGGAAAGAGAAAAGAAGAATACGTACGATAAATGTATCCCTTTCATAAAAGAGAAATTCCGGGAGACCTTCAGAGAGAGAGAGTTCGCTGTGAGAGGCCTCTGGTTTGGGTCTCGCGGAACAATTCCAAAAAGAACAAGGAGCTTCCTTAAGGAACTAGGTGTAGACATTAAGGACCTAGCGAGGTTGGCTGAAAATATAGTACTCCACTCCCTGGGAATCATTTACCACCCTCACGTGAGGCTGAGAGTTTTAATTTATGTATTTATTTATTTATTTAATGGAAAATTGAAAAAAAGATAGATAAAAAGAGAGAAGTGAGAGAGGGGAAAATTAAATGTTAAAAAAAAAATAAATAAAAAGAAAAGGATTTACAAAAAAAAAAAAAAAATGATAATAACAATATATATATATATATATATATAATTGTATACTATGCTCATACATATTGTTAATCCTATATAATTGTATATATATATATATATATATATATATATATATATATATTATTGTATACTATGCTCATACATATTGTTAATCCTATATAATTGTATATTATTTGAAAAATTGTGATTAATAATTATGCTGTGTTTTTAGCAACCCAATGTAATTGAGCAGCACCATTTTATGATAATAAAGTGATTCTCTCTCTTGGAAAAATCCTATTATATAGATAGGTATATTACTGAAGAAATTACTCAAGGAATGAGAGATATTTGCAATAATAAAATCAACTGTCAATCAGTGGTTAGTATCATATTTAATCAAATATATACATTTTATTTTCCATTTTTATGCTAATTAATAAGGGTTACTTATTTGATTTTATTTGAACTTTTTAAAATAAAGTTTTTATTTAAACTCTATAGAATCGAATGAATGTATTTCTTATGAAATAATTGAATTGAGTTAAAGTAATAGTTTTTTAAAGATTAGAACCACTCATGACCTCTTGTTTTTATTACATTATTATTATTATTATTACTATTGAATAATATTTTTCCCATTTTTGTTATTAATTTATGCTTGTAATAAAAACAAGAGAAAACAATTACATTAAATTTTTATGAGAAGTTATTGATTTTTGTAACAAATATGTTCATAAAAAATATTCAACTAATGATGATAATTGAGTTGAGTATTTTTAGTTTGAGAGCTTTTATAATTAGTTTAATTTTAATTTTAATAAATCAATGTGTGGAAATAATATTTTTAAAATAATTAAAATAGTAAATGTCAACTTTAAAGCTGTTAGACAATACTTTTCTCAAGAAAAATAATAATCTATTTCAATTCCTACTGTTCAAATGTATTTTAATAAAAAAAAGGCAAGATACTTACGTGAAATTAGTAATTCGCAATTTATTCCAATTTAGTTTAAAAAGCAGAACCATTTATCTTGGAATAAAACTCTTTTATTTAAGTGAAAGAGCCATCCATGTACTATCCCTTGATTCTTCAACTGCATTAGTATCTTGTACATGCTTTTGTCTCTCTAAATGGAGGAAGTGATTGTTAACTCTTGTGACGAGGGGATTAATATGCCCTTGCTTAGAGCAGCCTTACATCAGTTGTGAAGAATGAGGTGCTCCTTAGCCATTTATCTCAGCCTTTTGGCTTTTTCATGTGCTAACCAGATAAGTAAGTTTATCGTAATAGATGTTTTGTCCTGTAAGTAATATAATATAATGATATAATGAATTTTAAAGCTTATTTAAATGATATGTGTTGTTAATGCTCACAGTTTGGGATTCTATGTCGTGATACTCAAAAAAATGAACCATAATTACCAAATTCATTCATTGAATTTTGATTGAATAATCTTCAAATGAGAAAACATTTGTTTATTTCTAATAAGCTTACTGAAATAAAATTAAAATATGCTTTCATTGAAATAATTCCTTCTCTGAAATTAATTAACAACATTATCATACACAGAACTACTCACATAATAATTTATTATTTCACATTTCAAAAATACAAATTCAAATGCATAGTTATAACAACTTTTAATTTATAAGAATTCTTCAAATAGGCTACTAGTCCTCATAATTACAATGTCTTGTTTCCAAATATTAAATTTAATAGTTGATTCAAAATTATACTATTAAAAATTATTATCAGTAATAATTATGGTTAACAATTATTTTAAGCAGAATGATTCCTAGTAAATATTGGATACATAATTTTATTGTGGAAACATCTCAATGTTCACTTGATCATTAATTATTATAACATTTTATTTTTTTGAATTGTGAAACAATTTACGATCCTTATTCCTTATTCTATACATTTTTCATTATCTATTATTATAATATAAATGATAATTAATGATTATAATATAATTGTTATTTTATAGAGTTGAAAATACACCCAACCCCTGATGACCCGCAAAGTAGTTTAGTCTGGTATAATCAGTCTACTTCAGATAAATGGAGTCAAAAATTGGATAATTTCTTAGAAGGTAATTAATTTTTAGTGACAAGGATTTAATGTTTATCAGCTTCCCAATTCATGTTTAATGAGGAAGCCTTCCCTGTGACGTAATTATAACCAATTATAACAACCCACGCTCAATTTTGATTGAAATTTCCAATTTTTCAATTGTTGGATTTTTTATACCTGTTTCATTTTAATAATGTATAAGTTAAATTATTTACTTGTTTTTTCCTTGATGTGTTATTTAATCGGTAAATTTTAAATATGTCTTTTATTATCTGTTGAAAATACTAATTAATAAAAAATATTGTAAAAGTTATTTTTTTATTGATGCACAATGAGAAAAGATACTGCAGAAATTGTTCAATTAAAGTTTCTGTAAATTAAGTTATGCATAATTTACTAATAAATTTAAAACAAAATATATTTAGTGATCTACAATATATAAAATTAAACATCCATAAATTTATAACATTTTTAAAATTAATTTATTCTTTTAATTTTTTAGTAAAGTAATAATGTTTTTTATTTTTATCTAATACTGAGATCATAGAATTAATGATGTTTTTTTCCAATTGATAATTGAAATTTCATCTTTTAATGATATATTTACTCAAACAATATAATCAAAAAGATTTAAAATTAATTTTAGAAAATATAACTTTGCATGTTGTATTAGCAAAATTGGGGCTGGGCTTTATTAACATTATTGAACCATATCAAGATAACAAAGTATAATTTTTTTTTAATAAAAATTTCCTATCGGAGTGCCTCTTATTGGTAGATCTATTTCTGTATATCATCCATATCTTCATCTATATCATATAGATCTATATCAATCAGGCCAAAATAATTTTACTGGGTGATGTGATTTCTATGAGCACGACTATATATAAGTGGATCTCAAATCTTCCTTAACAAATCTGAATGTTTCTCCATATAATTTTTTCTGGGATCTGGATATATAATGTGAATCCCTTCTTTTTATTTACTAGTTCTATTTCTTATCTTTTTACTTTTTTTTTTTGTTTTGTTATGTTAAGAAGTTTATTTTGATACAAGGATGTTCTAAAGTAAATTTTAATTTAGTTTAGTTTTTATTTCTTTAAACAAATATTATTTATTATATTTTTGTGTGTATATTTTTCACTTTTTTCAGCTGTCTCAAATTAAAATTATGTTTGTTTCATATATTTTATAAAATATATATCTATGTTTAAAATGTATTTCCAAATCAAATTTGTTTGATTATGAGGATAAAGTATCCATAATCCCCTTCATAGATCCCATACCAACTTTTCCATACTTTACCTGAATTCCATCACCTTTTACCCTTCTGTTAAAAAATTAGGATTTTTTAATAGATCAAATTTCCTCTTGGAATCACCTACTCTCAAACTATTCCATCGCTTTCACCATATCATACCCTATAATACGTGTAGACTCCTAGTTTCCTCTCTCATCTTTCACCACTTTGACTACAGCTGTGTGGTGTACTATGGCCTCTTGGTGGATCTCCTTGATAGACTGAATAGATTCTTAAGATTTGTAATTGGGATCCCAAAACGCTCCTGTGTCTTCTACCACTATACTGAGTTAAGGTGGCTCCTTCCCTCCTTAAGAAAACAATAATTCCTATGCACATTCCTTTATCAAATCATCAACAATCACTGTCCTTCTTATGCCTACAATCTTCCCTAATCAAGTCCTCAGTCCATTCCCTTACCACAAGATCTCCATCTTCTGACATATACATCCCTTCTTACAGATGTGCCTCATTTGTTACGCGCTCTGTAAATATCTAGAAAGATTGGTTGGCATCAATGAATTACATTTTTGTAAGACTATCACTTCCTCAATTATTAACATTTTCCCTGGAACGTCCTGTATGTAATGTTCAGTTATGTATTTTATTTTATTATTTTTTTAAATTTGTTGTCTTTAATATTTAAACACTAAACTCTGGCAGACAGCATGAGGCCTTAATACTTTGTTTTGTTGAGGAGGTCCATGTCATCATTGTCAATCATAGAACAGAGAAATGTGGGGATATGTCTGGCCAGGGTCACCACCAAAAGGTTGAGCAGTATCAAATATCAGAAATCATATTAATAAAGCAACTGAATTACAGCCATATTAAATGAAATAAATTCAAATATAAAGTAATGTAAAATGTGCTTCACAATTGTCTCCTTTTTTCTTCCTAAATTATCATTTTATCGCATTAAATTTCTGCTTAAAGTGAATCTTGAGTGTAGTTTTATTTTTTATGGGAAGAGGGATGTATCACTCATGATCAGGGATTTCACATGGATTGTTGAATTATATGTGTCTGGCTGTGTGTGTGTGTGTGTGTGTGTGTGTGTATACATCATAAAAATTATTAATTACATTTATATTTACATATCTTCATTTTCTGAATAAATGATATATGTCAAACAAAGTTGAACTTGGAAGTTAGCAGTTATATCTTTATGTATATTCTACAGCTAAAATATAGTTTACAGAACACCATTGCTGACGGAAGGGAGAGAGGAGACTTTAGTATCTTGCAGTTATGAGAAATATCCATCATCTAATTCTGTTTGTAACATCAGACCTGAAGATTTCAAGCCATGCACTGCTTCAAACTTCTTCGGTTATAAGAAAGGATCACCTTGTATCTTCATTGAGTTGGAGAATGTGAGTTAAAATAAACAAAGAATAAAATTCTATGTTATCATTACAATCTATTACTTTTTCAATGGTTTACAGGAAATATGTTGGTGTTAGGCCGAAATATTTCCAATTAGTACATTTAATTAAATTTTTTTTTGGGAGAGGAATGTTCAGATATTTTTTATTTGTTTTATTCAGTCCATCCAATTTTTTTAAAAGTAAAAAGTTTGAATTAATGGAATCATCAATAATAAAAGAAAACCAAAAGCATAATGACAAAAATAAAAAATATATTCCAGTATTAATGCATCTCCACCAAAGCCATTCATCTGCGTTACCACTTGTTGATTAGTTTGTCAAATCCAAGATATTAATAAATTTAATGAGGTCAAGTTTGTCGTTTGTTTAATTTTTAAAAAACCAATTTATATGTTTTTATGTATATTTTACTAAACATGATTATAATTTTTTATTATAATAAAAAATGTAATCAGCATGCGTTCATGGCATGGGATGAGAACAATTGTATATTAATAGTCTTTATGTGGGTTATTAGTTATTTTATTATTAGTTATTTTATTACTATACATATAATGACTATTTATATGCATCATATATGTTATTTGTCTCATGGATATAAAACATTGAAAATAAGTGTTAAAAAATTTCTAATTTCGGTGAAAGAAAGTTTAGCAGAATTATATGGCTAATTATTTTTCATTTTAAGGTATTGGGATGGAAACCCCGCTATTTTTCGTCCATGAAATCCTTGCCCAAAGGAATGCCACAGGCTCTCAAAGATCAAATAGACGATCTTACTGCTAATGTGAAGATGGTTAGTAATATATGTTTAAAAAAAAATAGTTTTCAAAAAGTTCATAACTTATTTTATTATGATTATGATACAGTGGGAAACAATCTGGGTTGCTTGTGAAGGCTTAACTCCTGCTGATAAAGAATTTATAGGATCAACAGTTGCTATTCCACAACCTGGATTTCCAGGCTATTTCTTCCCCTATATTGGACAAAAAGGATATCTCAACCCAATAATAGCAGTTCAACTTGAACGTCCTCAGGGTATGTATTACTACTTATGAGTTACAATTTATCATCAGAATCGAATTATTTAACTATTATTTTATATAAGAATATGTTTATTATTAAATGTTTTAGTTAGTCATAGTCAAATTCAGTGAAATAAAATATTGTTCTTTATTTGTTATGCAATAATGACTGTAGCAAACAAAAAGATGAATGAGAATATTAGTCGGGAAAAGTAAAATAATTACTATAATAAAATTATCAGTTCTACATTTATTTATTTTTAAAAATGAAAAAAATGTTTTTTTATTAAAATTTACTACTAATAAAATTATTTGTGAAATGATATTCCACCATCTCTAAGTCCGTAGTCATCTAGTCTTTCAACCTTCCTTGTGGTCTAAGTGAGGTCTGACTTGACCCTTGGTTTCTTGAAACAATATTTTTGCTTCTCAACCATGATCCTTCCTAATTACACTTAGGAACATCTGATGGTTTGAACTCAATGAATGGGAAGCTCAAAGATCTTCATTTAAGTCTCAGTGTTTCTCCTGTTGACATAAAAAATAACTGTTGACAAATAAAATAAAGTTCTAAAGATAACTACAATGTACTATATATAATCATGCATGTAAACTTATTAACATGTGGTTATGTTATAGCATTAGATGAATAATTAATGATTATGTAATTATCATTTATAAAATTTCTATCCTTAAATTATTGTTATATTAAATTTAAATACATATGTTTCAGTTGGTGTGATCATCAACATTGTTTGCAAAGCCTGGGCTCCTGGTATTGTACACAATGCTAACAAACCGCTCGGCATGGCCATGGTCGAATTACTGTTTGACTAAGTACACTTTGACAAAATAAGTGTTTAATGAGTCATCTTTTCATCTAATAAAATCTTATTTAAATAATATATAAAAGACTTTTCTCACACTGATCAATTTTTTGTTATATAATATCATTAGTCTCCTAAGCTATTCAACAGAAGCCATTGTTCATCCTTGCTGTTTCTGCTGCTCTTGGGAAGATAAAACAGCCTCAAACCAGAAAAGTCCCGAAGTTGAACCGATTCTGAGCATTTTAAACCTCCAGTTAATAACATATTAAAATATTATTTTTTTAAACTTGTTATTGATTAAATGTTAAGTTTACAAAAATAAATTATATTTTTCAACAATATTTATTTTGTTTTTATTGTTATTTTACAAACAGGATGTACATTTTATTTGAAATTCACATTTCTGTAGCATTAGAAATGTTTTATGCAATCTTATTTTTCAAAATTACTATTTTATCAAATCAACATATTTTTAAATTTAAAGAATTAATTTTTTTTTCTAAATTCATTTTGTTATAAAATATATTTTTTTGTTGAGTTTTTAATATGCATACACTTACACTTGGTATGTTTAAAATACTTTTTATTCTATAATTCTTTTTCTCCCTTTCAAAATATCAAAATATTGTTTATTAAATGGCATTTTAACATTGCTTTAAAATAAATAATATTTTTTTCTAAGCTAAAAAAAAAGTATTTAAAATCCAACATATCAAGCCAATACTATTGTTTAAAATACTATTTCATTGTACTTGTGTGAAAGAAGAGAAGTGAAATATAAACATATTTCATGGAAATGTTTATAAGCTTAAATACATTTACTGTAGTTTAATAACACTAGATATGATATTATATTTAAGTAATTAGGTATCTATTGGCCTTTTATTAAAAAATTCATCAAGTAACCTTTTAGAAAATTAAATTAGTGAATAATTTGATGAATTTTCCCTTTGTGAAATCCTAACATTACCCACTTACAATTAGTGTGACAACTTTTGACCTATCCATGACAGCAATGAAAATCTTGTAATATCATTTTAGTAAACTTTACAATGGAAAATAACAGTTTAATAACTAATAGTTCTACAATCCATAATCATTTATCGGTTAAATATTCAGATGTACTTTCAAATCTCTCTAGGCATATATCAGCCTTTCGGTTGATAAAATGACTAACTCCAATTTAAACATTCTTTATTATTAATTTTAGTGATGTTTCTAGAGATAAAATTTATACCTCTATTCACAGTTCTATATTTCAACACTGCAATCACCTACTCTGGAATCAGCTTACTCACTGTCTGTATAGATATAACTTTTCCAACTAGAAATATCACTAAAATGACATTATTCAAAAATGTAGAAATTGGAGTCAGTCATTCTGTCAACTGAAAGGCTCAGAGACTGAAGTTATGTGGTTTATAAAAGCAGATGGAGAAACTAGATTTTTATTGCCTACCGCCGATATAATAAGTAGACTTTTTGTAATTTTAATCGTCTTAATGATTTGTTATCTGGAGCTTTAGGCTTTAGATCCGCTTAAAATGCACTTCAAACATTTTATAATAGCTCAACAATAAATAATTTTACCAGAAAATAATTTCTATTCAAAGTAAGTGAAAGTTGTGTGTTGCCAGATTTTTTTAATATCTTTTTAGTAATGAAGATTAATTGAGGCATAGCATTCCAAATCCAGCCAACTCCATTTTCAATTTATTTATTTATTGTTTATTAAGTGCTCTATATTATCATCAAGTGAATGGATTTTATCTAGGCATGTTTATACACTGGCAGGCGTTATGCTAACCCAGGGAAGCAATTTTTGAGGAGGAGTAAAATTTGAGTGAAATACAATAATACTTTTAGATTCAAACAACTTTGTATATTTATATAAAAGAGTTAAATAAAACTCACATACATATAAGAATTATTTTAATTTAATTTAATTTTTAATTTAATAATAAAGAAATTAGTCTTTTTTGAGATAAGGGTAGATGCTGACCCAACAAATCCTAAAACAATCTGCTCCTGCAGACAAGAAATATTTAGCAAGAAATAATGTAGATATGTTATTAACTCTTGTCAAACATTCAGATGTCATAATCATTCAGGGGAAGAAGAATATGAAAAAATGTATAAAATACTGAGGGAAATCAAGGAATTTTTATGCCTTAAAGCATTAAAAAAATAAGTGAAGGAAATAATATAATTAAAGCAATTAAATTGTTTGAAAGTATGAAACATTAAAAGTAAATCCTTCAACAATACTTGCAAAAAAATATGAAATAATTACTATGAAGAGAACTGAAAAAGAACTAGAAGAGATACACCATCATCTGGCAGCACATCTACAGAATTACCTAAGAATGCATCTAAGGATTACATGTCTGATTTCTGGTAATATCTCTAGTTCATGGAAAATGAAAAACAAATAATGATAGCATGCTTTATTTCATATGTTATAGTAAATAAAAAGCTAAGTCATTTATTTCGCCCAGTGGCAAACAGGATACAATAGAATATGAATGAAACCCAGTAGATAGATTTCAGTTTAGAAAAATTGGATCTTATAAAACAATATTTTTTGTTTGATAAGATTCATAAAAAAAAAAGTGTGAAAGGAATTTAGAGTGGTTTTTAAGGTATTAAAAAAATAATAAAAAGAAATAAACTTTTGGTACTGTGCAAATGATAAAATTATGATAGGCATTAGAAAAGATTATTTTTGATTATTAATAAATCTTAAGAGAAAATGGTTTGTCCCTTATAATAGCTCACCAAACACACCCTGAAAAATTGTTAGTGCTTGTGTACTTCAATAATTTTGCTAAGCCTCCGGAGCTACCATTAAGCTTTAGAAAAGGAAAATCAAAAGAACTTATTCCAATTTTTGAAAAACTACAACTTTTATGTACTTCTTTAAAAAATGTAACAAGAACACAGTGCCTCTAACCTATATTGTTGAACATGGCATCTTTAACGGTAACCAAATAAAATAAATAAAAAATAATTGTGATCAAAGATTATTTTTTAAAAATAATTCAACACTTGTACGGATATGCTAAATTTTGAATATTAATGGGCAACTACCCTAATGTCTAAGATAAAGAAGGAGCTCGATTTTTCATCTTGCTATTTAATATTATTATATTTCATTTTTTACATTTTCATTTACTGATATGAAAGATAGGATGAAGTGAACTAGTGGGAGTCCTAGTCAGAAATATTGTACTGCATACACTCCATTTTATTGACAATGAAGTGGTATTTTTATCAGAAAAGAACTAGTTAAGAATGTATGAAATTTGAAATTAAATGTGGTAATTATTATAAATTTTCTTTATGATTAATATTCACAGAATGCAAGACATCAGTTTTAAAATAAGAAAATAGTTAGTTTTAATAGAAAGAAAATATGTGATATACAAACCAAATAACATTTTGCCTACATATAATATTAAATTTTAGTGATTTTAATTTTAATTCTGTTATTAGTTAATATAAATTTATGAATCTTGAGAATGTCTATCTATACACCTAATGAACAATTTTGATCTTCAGCACTAAATATTATAACTTCATCACCACACAGGCATATGTTTATGGCAACCCAGAGTACCTTGGTACTCAGTTTAAGAACCACTGGTCTATTAGCTGGTGGTGGTTTCTCTATTAATTTTTAGAGGTCTAAATATGGACATATTCTACATGCGTGTCTTATATTCAGTGGTTATTTCTTACAGCCAGATTACTATGGCAGATGTTTTTTAGCAGTAGCTAAATTTCAATGGAGTTGTATTTTTATTTTCAAACAAATTTTCCAGTTTAAAAAATAGCTCAGTTTATAATACACTAACACATATATATATATCTCCACTTAGTTTTTAATTATAAAAAATGATTGTTTTTGAAGATATGAGTGACTGAGAAAGGTGACTTCATCTATCATGCTTGTTGGAGACAAAAAAACCAAATACGAAATTTTCATATTTGTAAATTTTCATATTTAAAACTCCATAGAAGTTTAATTTTCTATAGATTAAATAGAAAATTTCATATTTTCATTACTTATCTTAAAAATAGTTGGGAATGTTTAATTTGAAACACTGATTGAACTTTGGGAAAGTATTCTAAACACTACAATGCACATTCACAAACTAACATCTGAGTGGGAGCAAGGGCACCTTATATCTTCAATCCTGGAATTTACGAAATATAAAATACACTAAATAAATATACCTACTGTTATTCATTACTAATCTGACACATATTAATATTAATTTAATTGATAATACTTATTAAAACCATTAATTTGGTATAATTAACTTACATTGAATCACAAGTAAATAGAAGTAATTAAATATTGCTTTCATTAAGCTTACATAAAATAATTACGCTTGTATAAAATAATATGTTTGTATTATGCACTCACTTAATTAGAAGAGGAATTGTGACTATCTATAGGGAGTTGTAAACTGTATCTCCCCTTGATTGATGAAGGAAAAATCACAATTACTAGGTATGCGTTCTCAACATTACTTTTTAGCAGACCATCTCCTGTTGTATCTACTTTCAGGATTTACTATTTCTCCTGGAAAAAATAAATATATATTAGGAACTTCCTGGAAGTTATCATAATAATTAAATATTTACTATTATATTACCACTAAAGACGATTTTACAATATATAATTATTCAATAATAAATGAATCACAATTTTAAGAATAAGTTCATATTTTGTATGTCTACTACCCAAAACAGAATTAAGACGTGAGTTCACAGGGATCCGAGTATCCAATATGGGTTATAGGCCAAGTTTATTATGTAATGAATACAATTAATTAGAGAATAATAATATATCCTAAATACCATTAATTCTGTAAATTTTGTTTATTTTGTATTTATTTCATATTGATTGTAGATACTTATGTATTCATTTTGTTGTTGTTAAAAATGTATTTTATAAATTTTGTAATGTGTTGATGGTTGGTCGTAAGGTAAATATAGAAAGAGATGGTCTGGGAGTCTGTCAAGAGTAAGATCAAATAGTAATAACTATTTATTAAAATCATCAATCGACCCACATTGTAGTTCATCAGGGCTGAAACAAGGAGACAAACATAAGCCAAATTTGTAAGTATTGTACCAGTGCTTTATAAATGTTTAAATTAAAATTTATAGTGGAAATTTACCTAACATTATTTTAAATATCCTAGCAATATTATATTATAACTAAATTGTATAAAACAAATTTTAGACTTCAAATTTACGACAGATTTTATATATTAGTTATTTTCAAAAATGGCAAATATATATTTAATTGATGTAAGCAAAAATTATTTCATATGCTTTTATTAATTATGTAATTTTTATTCAATATTAATTATGTAAAGGTAGTTTATTTTCTCCATTCATTTAAACTTTATTGGATCCATAATTTATGATATAATAATAATAATAATATCAATATGAATAATAACCTATTTCTAATGTCACTTGATTGATATTTAATCAGGCGAACAAAATTTCATATATTATGATTATAACGTAATATTTTGGATGAAGGTGTAGATCAAGCCCCAAAAGTTGGGTCTAGTCTATTTCATAGTTTAGTTTGCATTATTAATTCAGGCAAAAACTGACAATTTAATCTATAAAATATAAACATCTATTTCTTTAATTTTCTGAAATTAATGTTTTGAGCAATAATTTCGAAAAAGAAATGCCTCAGGGGTTGCATAATTTTAATATTTTAAAATTAATTATAGGCTATGTTCTTCTATATTGTACCATACATGTATTGTAACCATATATAGTTAATTTAAAAATATTTCTTTGATGAGGTTTTAGTTTGGATTGGTTCGAGTGGTATCAATATGTGGACTAGTGAGAGTGAAGAGGTGGTTTATCTCTTGTATAAAGGGACTGGGAGTTAGGGAGGGGAGGCCAGTCTGTGGCTGTGAGGGGTTCTGTCAGGATGCCTGGGAAGCATGAGAAGCACAAGGGAAAACACCAGCCAGAGTATAGCTGGGGGTTCAAGAAACCAGACGATTATAATCTTACGCTCAAGCAAAAGATAAAATACACCATCTATGACAACAGGCACGGGACTCCAAAAATATTAGGCAGAACACCAAAAAATTGGGGTAAATAAAAAATTATTAAATATTTTTATTTTCTAGGCTTTATTTACGTATATTCACATTTTAATATTAAGAATAAAAAAATTTAAGAAGAAAACATTTTCTTATAAAATTTATTGACAAGTTCAATTACAGATAACAAAATGAAATAACTAATAAAGTAATAAACTATAATAAAAAAATATATAAATATACATGAGAAAAAATAAAAAAATGTATTTATTATATAAAATTCATTTCATATCATCTTCACTTAAGTTGCTATATTACATACAATTAAAAAACAATAATTAGCACACCACATAACATAACCGTTATTATTTTAAATAAATAAATAATGAAAAATTGCTTAAACTTTAAAAACCAAAACAATTTTTAAGAAAAACTGTGAATACTGAGTACTTAAGAAAGATTTTCTTTCATAACTCATTGAAAAAATGAATGGTGTTCCATTTATTTTTATTTTTATATAAAATTAAAATAAGTTATACTAATTTTATTTTTTGGAAAATAATTTTGCTAATGGTAAATCGAGACATTCCCAACAGTCTGGTTTTTATCATATTATGGTTAAAAAGATGAAATAGCAATTATGGATACATTATTGACAAAATAGGAGTGGATAAGTACATATAGGTTTTACAAGATTAAGAAAAACTATAAAAAATTAAGTAAGATCCTGAAGATGAGACAAATTCCTGAAACATGGAAGGGTTGATGTAACGTAAGGGTTGATAAAACCATAACAAAGTAGATTTTTAATATTCACTTCCTGTTATTGGCATTAAATAATTCTTTCTAATTTTAAATATTTTATTAAAATGAAGATTTACTATTTTCAAGGTGTTACATATGCTAAGAGCAATCTATGTGTGAAAGAGAGAAATAAAATAGTGTTTTTTGAATAAAGAAATTTTAGTTATTTTCAAGTATAAGTACAAATATATTTTTGGAGTGTTTAACAGTAAAACTTAAGTGTTTGAATAGCAAAAAATAACCCAATTTCAAATACTTAATATTATCTATTCAATTTATAATTCTTAATGGATTGTAATTTGATTAGAAGAATTATTTTTTAAAAAATCCTCATATTTGTTGGAATAGTGTAATTTGTTAGACAACTTAAATTTTATTATGGTCAAAACTGAGATCATTGTTGATATAAACCATTGGCTATTAAAATAGGACAAATATGAATATTCCAGACTACAGCAATACTCAGGCTCTGTGCCAATTGCAATAATATTTTACTGAGTGAGTCAAATAACATGAATTGAATTAAATGAAGTATGTTAAAGACATTGTTTTCATAATGGTCAGTATTATTGTTGACATACTACTGTTTGGTCCCTCCCTCCATTTACCCCCCAAAAAAATCGAGTCCAGTTTTGTCCCTTTGATCAAACCAAAATATCCATTCTCTTGGCAACAGTGTATTTTGTTGACAAAAATAATTTTCACCTTTTCTAATTGTTTCATTCAGTTCTACAGTAGAACTGCTTTGATTTATTGTTCTATAAACAATGTAATACAGAATCAGATTGGTCTATTTAACAAAATTGAAAGGGACTTTAACTTGATTTTTGATTTACTAGTTAATGTTCCATAAATAAGTATCTGAATGAAATATCAAAAACTCTTAAGCTTAAAAAAATTATTTGTAATAAATTTTATGGCATATAAAGTAGTATTTTTTAGAAATAATATATTACAGAATTCATATATAAAATATACAGAACTTGTATAATAAAATTTATTATTGATATAATGTATATGATTTAAGACGTAAGTTATTTTAATACTGTTTGTCAGCCAGATATAGTTTCGTAATTTATTATAAATAAAACATGAAATGAATAATTTTGTATATATAAAATAATTAAAAACTTTTAAATTATGATAAATTACTATTACATTAAAATATAAATCCTTTAGAGATAAAATCCCCTATTGGCACTAGCGGATCCAGGATTAATTTTTGGGGGGGGCTTCAGCCCGAAAGTTTTTTTTTTCATAAAAATAGCGATAATTACTTTGGAAAAAAAGAAAGAAACTAACTACCTGTATGAAATGGTGTTTAAGTTATTCCTAAAGGCCTTTTAAATGTAATTAAAATACATGATAATGATACTTTAAGATATACTTTTTAAATATTTTTTTCGATAAAACATGATTATATTTTACCATTTTGGGGGGGTTTCAGCCCGAAAGCCCCCCCCTCCCCCCTCCCCCCGTAGATCCGCCCGTGCCTATTGGGATAAACTACTAATTAATAGTTATGGTTTACAATATAAATTTATGTTATTTAAAATTAAAAATCTAAATAAATAATTCTATCTTTTTGTATATAATGAATTTTGCTATTTAAAATAAATTTAATAATATTTTTTTTTATATTACTATATTATTACTGTATTAACAATATTACTGTATACAGTTACCATGTATTAATAGACTTAAATGGATATCTTTTAATTAACCTATCTGGAATGTTTTTGGAAATAAAATCTATATAATCTGACTGCCTTTTTAGATTTCTGAATTTTAGATATTTAAATAATAATATTGATGTTTATTATTATAAAAAAAAAACAAATTAACAGATCATTAACAAATATTGATTTGATTGAACTAAATATAATAAATATTATAATTACATAAACATATAAAATATGGCCATCCTGTGGTAAGTAATTGAAAACAGGTTAGCCAACTGTGAATTGCTAGAAGCTTTTAAAAAACATATCTTTACAAGATACCATTGTCAGTATTATCTTTTTTAAAGATTTTATATCTACTTGTTTGGTTTAATCAATTTGTTCTGTAATATATAATGAAAACTGATGATCGATGCATATGTTCTTACTATATTCTTAAAGTAGAATAAAACTTCTATGATCCATAAGATTTGTACCATCCAATACAGTATACTATTAATCTTGAATAAAGTATTAATGATTAGCAATTTAATTTGATAAATAGCAAAACATTTTAGCTTTTTTCCCCCCAAGTGAAGGCATTAATAAATCACCTTCCCGTATTTCTACAAGCCGACATCTTTCTGAACTAGAACCAAGCTCTATTTATAGTTTCTCTGCATTACTAAACTGGGGTGAATATTTTGAGAGCTACAATCTTTAAAATAAAATTTAAAGCTGTATTCAATTTCAAATATATTTTGTTAAATGTAGAGGTGGGCTTCATTTCAAACTTAGGTTGTCATATTTATAAAGCAAGAAACATTAATAAAGATTTTTATTGAATATAATTGTTAAAAAGATTATGATCTATTAATTAATCATTCACAAATTACATCAAAAGAATATATGAGAAGTTGCAATCAATAAAAATTACTGATACTTCATTTTTTATAATATTATTTGGTGTTCTTACTTTTTATTTACTCTGGGAATGATTTTAATTGTAAAACTTAATGTTGAATTAGCTATCA